GCATACGCATACGCATACGCATACGCATACGCATACGCATACGCATACGCATACGCATACGCATACGCATACACATACACATACACATACACACATACACACACACACACACACACACACACACACACACACACACACACATACATACATACAGATACACATACACATACATATACATATACACATACATATACATATTTATAATGCACTATATTATTTATACCCGTAAGATGGGGTAGATAGATCATACGGGAGCAGTTGTGCCGCGTATAACCGACAGGAATTATTAGGAGTACTAGAACATTTACTTTTACTTTATTTCCCAATAAAATTATTTTACTCTCTGAAATGGGCCAGTTATTTTTTGATTGGACGGATGGCATGCTACGCCCGACTCACGGGTAGGCCTAAGCCTGGGAGATACTATTCTGCTTTTAACTCGATTTCTAGGAGCATGATAGACCCCTTTACACCTGCATTTCCCAAATATTACGTTGTCGAGATGCCTTTGTAATAAGCTTGTGTTAGTTGATATACGATTATTGACTCTTGAAGACGGCAGACTTTGCGTCACCTGGTGTTAACAATAAAAGGTCTGTTAATCAGTCACGGCCACTGGTTATCTGAAAAGTCTGGTGACTCGATATACTTGTGTACTTGTCAAATTTCTTGAAATCCATTAGTGTTAATCGAAAATGACCAGTGGTAACGCCATTATACACAGACATTTCTTCGGAAGCTACGGGACTGGCTGCATTAGGCTGTCGTTATCGGCACACTCGTCGGGCCGGCCAAGTGCAATGGGGCGATCTAGCCCATAATATATGCTTTATTGTATAGCGCAATACAACTGGGAGCTATAGTTCACTTTATTGCGCAATCTCACGTATCGTAGTGTCATTTTTTATAGCACATTCTAGCAACTCTTAGCCGTGCGATCGCCATTACATTGTATGAATAGTACATACTCTATTTCGTAATACAGTGCGTTTTTCAAACCTTCAAAAAAAATTGTGTGCCGTGATGATGGTTTCATTAATGATTCATGCCGTCATCCAAATATCACCAAGCGGGCAACGATAGCCGAACACGCCTAATGTGGCATTGCAACATTCTTTGGTATGTCATCCTTATGTCCCTCACACCAACATGCATGATACAAACCTGGCGGGTCTCATTCAGATCATAGATGTGCTATGTACATGTTATAGGAGGTCTATGTTCCAGGCCATCTATAAATCGACTCAACAAACGCACACGCAAGCTTCGCGCTCTTTATCCTTCCCGCAACCGATACAACGGGCGTTACACTACGTTAGCTATATAAATATATAACTAGCAGCATCAGTAACACGCAATTATATTTTCTCAAGCAATTGCCGTTGAAATACTTATTACGCTCAACGTTGTCAGTAATTGTACGACGTAATTATTTATACAGAGCGCTTTTCAATGTCCTAATATTTAAAATGAAAATGCAGTAAGACAGGTTGCTGCATGCGTAATCACCTATTAACAAGCGTGCATATAAGGACATATTCATATAAATACACGCATACACACTAATAACATATTATTTGTCGTTTATTACTTTTCTCTCTTTTTTCTAGTATATAACGTTACGCACGAGGTGTCGCACGGCTTAATATTACAAAGATTACCTTCGTATTCGTTGCTACGCAATTCGAACCGGATACAAACTTCGAAGAGAAGCGAAGTCATTGGTTATATGATACCGGAATTTTGAATTATATACGTTTAGAATATTGGACATGATAAAAATAGATTCTGTATCTGACATCAATTCCGACTCAAATGCAGACTCAATGCTGTAGTATCTTTACTTGAATCGGCCGACAGCGTTGAGTGCGGTCGGTCTACGGTAATAAACGTATTTTTGACTATTCGAACATTCTACTATTTAACTATATATACACCGATGTATAGCAATCGATGGGCTAAACCTCAGCGACAACCGGCCGTGAATGACAGGCGTAAGCACACGTGTATTACAGCGTAGGTTTCTGGAGATCATCAAGACAACTGCGACATGATGCAGTGATGACATGATGCAGTGCACGTAACTGATGAACTATCACACACACGCCTGCACGTTCCTCAGGCCATTGACATAGTCTGTAACGTGAGTGGTGAGTGAGTGATCCCGGAGTGGGTACGTATTGAGATGCAGAACAGGTATGGGTGCAGTAAAGGTCAGATACAAGTGAGGTGATGTGAAGGACAGGTAAGTATACTCTACAGGTGAGATACAGAAGTGGTGACTCACATGACAGGTAGGTGTACAATACAGATGATATGCAGAAGAGGCGAAGTACAGGACTGGTAAGATCTGAGCATACTGGACAGGTGCGTACATGTTAGGTAAGATCTGAGCATGCAGGACAGGTGACGTACAGGACATGTGACGTACAAGACAGGTAAGATGTGAACATGCAGGACAGGTGACGTACAGGACATGTGACGTACAGGACAGGTAAGATCTGAGTATGCAGGACAGATGACGTACAGGACAGGTAAGATCTGAGTATGCAGCACAGATAACGTACGGCGCAGGTAAGATCTGTGTATGATGGACAGGTGATGTACAGAACAGGTGACGTACAGGACAGGGGAGATCTGAACATGCATGACATGTGACGTACAGGACATATGACGTACAGAACATGTGACGTACAGGACATATGACGTACAGAACATGTGACGTACAGGACAGGTGACGTACAGGACAAGTGACGTACAAGACAGGTGACGTACAGGACAGATGAGATCTGAACATGCAGGACATGTGACATACAGGACAGATGGCGTACAAGACAGGTGACGTACAGGACATGTGACGTACAGGACAGATGACGTACAAGACAGGTGACGTACAGGACAGGTGACCTACAAGCCTGGTGACGTACAGGACAGATGGCGTACAGGACAGGTGAACTACAGAACAGGTAACCTACAGGACAGGTGACGTACAGGACATGCGACGTACAGGAGATGAGACGTACAGGACAGGTGACGTACAGGACAGGTGACGTACAAGAGAGGTGACGTACAGGACAGGTGACGTACATGACAGGTGAGAGTTGTGTATGATGGACAGGTGCGTGTAGCGTAGGTAAGATTCACAACAGGTAAGATATTAGTATGCGGGACAGGAGATGTACAAGACCCGTAAGATGTGAGTATGCTAGACAGATGACGTACAGGATGGGTACGATTCAGGACAGGTAGGATCTGAGAATGATGAACATCACAATGCCGACCTCGATGCTGATGATGACGCCGATGACGATGCAGCGTCGGCGATCCAGCTGTCTCGCCATAGCCGCCGCTCCATGCACGCCACCGCCCATCTCCTCGTCGCCATCTAGCGGTGCATCCTTCTCCTGCCATTTACAGGAAAACGGAAATTGGAGACCGGGAAAATCAGAAAACTTACGGCACTTTACAGTGGGTCGTCGTTGGTTGGTAGGAATTCAGAGAGGAGGGAGTGTACTGACAGATGACGACAAACGAAATGTCAAGCAACGGGGCCTTTGCAACAACCGGGGATATTGAAGTAACACGCCGGGCTGAAATTATGTAATTAGGCCCTATCTAACGTGATTACGTTTATTAACAAGCTAAGCAGAATGACATAGGAAGCACAATTCTGAAAAAAAGTTATTATTGTACGATACATCTGAGAGATTACGCGATATAACGGCATGAAAATGCAGGAGATATGCAGTTGTGGCATACCGAAACTTTTAGCTACACGTTCAGGGAGCACTACTTGTAGTTTAAATATTATGGGATAAATTCATATAAGCAGGAGTAGATAATAGGGAATTCCCTAGGGGATTCCCTATTATCTACTTCTGATATAAGTTAAGAACCCAAAAGTCCTAGAACCCACAATTATAGCCTCGTGGTCGTACACACATTATTTATTCTTAATAGTTACTGGCTGTAAGTTTATGTTTGAATAATAACCTGTGCTGCTGCATGTGAGATTTCTAATCCCACATAGCGAGTTTGTAATCAAATCGCGCACGAGTGTCGTACGGACTGTAGTACGAGAACGCGAGTATATCGCGTATCGTGCACTGGACAGATACAGCATCGTAGTTATCGTGCGTTTGCGCAAATTATACATATATTTAAACCATTTTATTTATTTATTATTAAATTATTGATAATGTGAAAATGATTTTTTGGAGAATGCCGAATTAATAAAACGATGAACAATAGGCAGTTATTATCTTCCGTCTGTATTTCCCTCCATTACATCTTCCTAGTGGTCCGGGCTGTAGGACCAGAACAACAATCAAGCAGGTTAACGCGTGTGCGCGCATGCACGCACGCACGCACGCACGCACGCACGCACGCACGTAGGTACGCACCCGCGCAATAAAACCCGTCTTACCCTTTTCGTGTGCGATTTGCTGCCAGTGCGGTAGTTATCTAACTGGCTTGTGGTGTCGCAGGCAATGTCGGCGTAGCTAGTGGGGCCACACGTAGATATGGGCGGAGTGGTGCGTCCGTCTGCAGAAGCAGGTCCGTCTATCAACCACGCGGACGTCGCGGTCTGGTCACGGCCTGTTTCTGTCAGACGGTATATATGCTTTATAGTAGGCAGACAGGCAGGGAGACATGCAGACAGGCAGGCAGACATACATGCAGACAGACAGACAGACAGACAGATAGATTAATAGATAGATAGATAGATAGATAGATAGATTAATAGATAGATAGATAGATAGATAGATAGATAGATAGATAGATAGATAGATAGATAGATAGATAGATAGATAGATAGATAGATAGATAGATAGATA